TTTGTATAATTATCATTATTATTATTATTCTCTCCATATATGCAAACTTCAATTTTTACTAAATATTTACCTATCCCAAATCTACACGTCAACTATTCTATTTTACCCCGCTTAAAATGGCTTTTGAGATAAGTAAAAATATGGCCGAATAACAATATTAAAAGCGCAGACTACAGTGAGAGAATGCAGATGAATGAATGTAGTAGTTTCTTTATTATGGATATGTTCTTTTTCTACTTTAAATACTTTTATAGCTTTTATTTAATTATATCATTATAAATGTATCGCTGTATAATACTATATTTGCAAAAAATGTTGTATGTTTACATATCCATACTGTACATAAAATGTTTGTATATTTCATCAATAAAAAAACAGTAATTAACGACTTGAACTATTACATCCGGGATATTTTTCGAATGCATTTGTGTATTTCTTTTTGTTTTGAACCATCTCGTTAAACAAACATTTGATCAGGAACATTGTGTATCTGTTTATGTTCCTACATTATATTACTTTTATGTACCTTCAATTTCTTGTCTGTTTATGTCTCCAAGATGTATGTTTTGTTTATGATCTTACTTAATGATTGTTTTTCTGTTTATATGCACGTACCTAAATAATACCTACATTATAGTTCCGTTCCTATACCTACATTTTTTTCTTATTTATATACTGCAATCTTTTCATGTACCCTGATTGCATTTCTGTACGCATTCAGTAGGGGGTGGGGGGTAACAAACAAGAAATATGTAAGTTTATATAACATGTTGGTTGTACATGAACAAATTGTTCTACATAGTCATTTAATTACTTTAACATTTTGGTAAAATACAATTACAAAATAAAAAGATGTGATGAGCTGAAACTAAGTTTCACATGGCTTGAAATCTTGAAATAATGACCTGTAACTTGAAATCATAATTAATACATATACTAGTAATGAATCTTTCTTAAAGGCACATCGAGCCTCAGAAATAAAAAGTATTTTAATCTGGTAGAAAGGGCAAAAAGTGTTTTATCATCTTATATATTTAGAGCTCGTGAGATGCTTATTGCGTGAAATTATTGTTGATTAAGGTAAACAATTATAAACAAAGAGGGAAACTGACTTCTAAACTTTACCTTTTCCCAAAAACGCAAAAGAAGCAAAAGCTGACTTATGAGTAACTTTTTTGTGGAAACTACTACTATACAGGACACACAAAAATGATTTTTGTTTTCCAGAAGTATATATAATAGCTTATTATTTAAAGCGTTGGGTCTTTAACATTTCAAAAAGAAATTTCTCCTAATATTTTTCATTTACAATACGAACTGAATTTGCATACTAGTTAGGTCGTGAATGAATATAAGCAGGAAACTTATTTCTGTCCCATAAATAATGATTTTATCTCTAGTTTAAAAAAGTTTTCCTTCCTCATTCTTCCAAGTTGGAACGCTAGACAGTATTAGGTGTTTTTTTTGAGCTTTTTTAGTGTTTTTTAATGGGTTTAATTAACAAACACCCACGTTGTTATAATATATATGTATGTTTATATGCTGTTTGACAGTCATTGTGATGATATTTTATTGTGAAATTTAGATCTCACAATCTTAATTATATAAATGATATTATATATATATACATATCCCTCACTTATATGAATATATTATGATATAATATGATTGCAGTTCGAATGCCATTCGAATCGTAAACATTCAAGAGATGTTCTAATACGCAGTTTTCTCTGCCATAAATCTGTAATAAACATATATTAAATTAAACATTACACTATATACTTTAGAAACAGCGCTCTGTATATTCTTTTCTGTTGCATCGATATATATATTGTCTATATTGTACGATAGCTTATTCTTTAATTATCCTATACATGGCTTTAAAACGGGCATAAAGTATTTAAATCTTAACTTGTTTATATACTAAAGTTCGTTGTACCGGGTTCTAAAATATCAGATTTCTTTGCGGGTAATTTAACACACAAAAACAACACCCCCCCCCATACATCAAGTAAAATTCTATACTTCTATTCACGAATGTCCTTTGGTAAAACGTTTTATCGCATTTATGTGTTTGCTGACTAAATAAACATAGTTAAATGATGCAAGAGTTACACGTCACTGATAATCTTCATATATTTCTATATTCATATATGCAAGCAAAGTACGTACAGAACGCGGGATTGTCAAGCTATAGTATTAGTATCAACAGTCACAGCAATGTAATATTTTCAAATATTTATAAAAAGATACCGAGTAGCGAACTACAGTATAGATTGTCGTTTTGCCTAAACAATATTCCACTTAATTAGATCATATACTAATTACACCAGGCAAATAAGAGACAGAGTAACATCTTCAATTTAATACCGTCAGGTGACAACAAGCTCGGCGAGACGTCAACCGCGTTCTTGTACCAGGAATATGACTTTAACGCATTCTGCCACCTCGATGGTTTTATATTCAGCCTCGTTAAATTCTATTGGACAGGAAGTCCATAAAAGTGGGCTTTGGAATGAGTGAAAAAGATAAAAGAAACACCACATGAAAATGGCGTTATAACATATAGCAACGTTAAATGACAATGATATGGCGGCATACATGCGCCTTCACTGGTAATATTGGTAGAATCTGTTTCCACCATCAAGCTAGCATTAATGGACATCTGAACATTAAAATGTGCAAAGTTCTTACAGAACGAACGGCATATACATTAATTAAGTTATGATGAAACTACATTCTGCGGAGCTTTAATTCGCTAGGATTTTAACTATCATCACTTATTAACCATTCATATTTAAGACAATGCAAACATAGTTGTTTAAAAAATGTCTAAAATAATTTCTACATTTTCACTTTTAAAGTCTAAGTTCAACCTATCCATATTTGATCATTTTTGCTGAGTATGTGTAATAAATTAATGCGTTCGTAGCAAACATTATACAATGTATGCGCTTTTATATAGAGACAGATATAGTCAGTTTTCACAACGTGAACTGCCAAATTGTACGTGCAATATAACAATAATGGTGCTTTATATTTAACTTTACATTTAACAAACTTATTGATAAAAGCCTGACTACATTTTCGTTTACGATGCGAATTAAAAGCCGGACTGCATTTTCGTTTTCAATGCGAATAAATAACCGGACTGTATTTTCTTTAACAATGCTTATAAAAAGCCGGACTACATTTTCGTTTACAATGCGAATAAAAAGCCGGACTACATTTTCGTTTACAATGCGAATAAAAAGCCGGACTTCATTTCGTTTACAATGCGACTAAATTCCTTGACTGCATTTCGTTTACAGCGCCCCTCCCCCTTGTGATAGAAATAAAATATGTGAGAATATAAATTATATATATACGTGGTATAAAGAGGAAGCCGGGGAATATGTGCACACGATACCAAATCGAAATTTGATGTTTAACGCAGAATATTGATAATTGTATCTGTAATAATGATATTAATTCATGCTAAAAAATAGGAAAATAGAATAGAGGCTTCTAAAACGGAGGCGCGGGAAATCGGTCAGAAGAAATACCATTCTTTTGTTCTAACTCCCTAAAAAATGGAAAACATCATCTTTCAAGATAAAAAAGAAACTAATTCTTTTTCAAAACATCATCTTTCAACATGAGAAAGAACCTAATACTTTTTCAGACTGTGAATAAGCGTAGATTACCCGGTATGTTTCATTCTATCAATGTCATGTTTGACTGTGAAAGTACGGAAAAGTGAAACAATTACGCGGAAAGTATGAGGAAACATGTATTTAAATTTTGCTCACTCGGACCCCTCGTGACTGTTCACCATATTAAGAACTGTTTTATTATTATTAAAAGATTATTACTTATATTAGTTATTTTTTATTTTTAATAAATGGGTATACAGTATGTTTACCCGCCAGGCTCACTTTACTCCTAGGACAAATTTCTGGTTACTTTCATGTAGACAGACCAATTTTAAAATATATGCGATAAAAGAAGGAAAAATAGTAACTTTTTCACAATTTTTGACAAAAATTCACAAAGGTCATGAATTGTTTTAAACTCATTATTCTTTCTACATACAACAATTTTTAAAAACAAAATATAAATAATCCATACTTTTAAGTTTAAAATCCTTTTCAGTAACTCACAGCTTTCTATGCTGAAAAATATTCAAAGTTATCTGAGGTTATCTAAGCCTTGCATAGTTTACCGACATCAACAAAAAGACGAACAAATAAACAAAAAAAATCCACCTTAGGTGAAGTATGTACAAAAGTGACCTATATTTCGTTTGATAGTTCATTTTTCTGAACTGCATGATTACTACATGCGATGAGTGCCTTTGATGTGACAGATGTTAAAACATGAAACCAAATTCAATACACACAGGAAGGAAAGGAATCGGAATAAAATTGAGAACAATAAATTTGGATATAATACATCCTGTCCTGAACTTGGAGCAACTTGTTGTTTTTTAAAAAAGGGAACCATTGAAAGGCTCTTTTAATGCAAACAAATGAACTTATTCTTGATATTTTCAATTTAGTTTGAATATCACAAAATACTTTAAAATCCTAGCAAAATTATCTTCAATCAATGTACTGTTTCCTTTTGACCACTAAAAGTGTAAGTTAGAAAAGGCAAATTATATTTTTTTAAAGCGATCATATAAGCATTGTTTTAAATGACATGAAAGTAAATATTTTCAAGTTATTCAACCCAGACCTAACTGGAATAGGACATAATCATTATCTGATCGGGAACTCTTGGATAAAAAATGGGAAGACTTTTTAATAGTTCCTACTTTACTTCAAACCCAGGCCCATTGTCCAGTCACTGGCATACACCTTCATTTACATAAACCTCTTAAACGTCATTTTATATTAGTGTTAGATGAAAAAAAATCCTACCGACCTATACCTACCTACCCATCTAAAAAAATGTGTGTTGGGTAACTCCAAACAAAGTTTTTTTAAGGTTAGTCTCAGTGTGTGACATCCATTACATGGGTGCGTGATGTTTACAGGTGGCGTGATATATAACTTCCTTAAAAAGTATTGTTTCATACTATGAAAGCGTCGATATTCATATACGGTTGGACAGTCGTATCGGAAAGAAAGGAAATTCATATACGGACGGTTTCCAAAGGGATCATCCTTTTTCCAGATCTTTCTAAACTGAAAATTCAGAAGTGTCACAGAAATATCGGATTATTAAGAAATTAAAACTTAGTAAGCAGTTATATCCTTCAGGGACAAAGGAGCACCGTAAATAAAACAAAGCTGTGAAGGTAGGAATTTTTTTCTGTTATTTAACCCCACCCTTTTCTTATAATGTAAGAGATGTGTTATGCGTTAGCCAACAATTTATCACACATCGTTTGTTGCATTTTCATTGTCAATAATATGTAGTGTGTCAGAAGACAACTTATGTTTTCTATTCTAAAAAAACTAAATGGAAATAAATGTTTGATATATGGTCATTTCATAAACGTTAACGCCTTTTACTCCCCACCATGTACTAAAAACAGTAGTAATTTCTGATCTGCCTTGTACAAGACGTATAAAAGTCTACATGAAGTTATCGTTTATGTGGCGGCATTGTCTAGTGGCTAGTGCGTCGGATCTTTGGCCTTGTGCGTTCAAACCCCGTCAATGGCAAGCCGCTGTTGTAATTTTGTACACTTATTATTGTGAATGGGTGAAAATATCGAAGTTTTGCGACTTAAATTGATAATATAAATTTTGTAAATCCGGATGATAAACAATATTTTTTTTTGCTTAGATACGAATTATTTTTGAAAATATAGCGATGCCCTGTTGAAGTTAAAAAACAAATTTGACCTATTTTCTGAACCTATCCCCTTTTTGATTCAACAAAACTGAGAAAAGAAACATACATTGCTGCACAGTTTACCCTGTTTATTTGTCAATATATACACACATGTACTTAATGATGTCATGATATTTACTCAAGAGACATTGGTACATGAGACATACTACAAATGTATATCTTTATCAATTCACAGGAACTTGAGATTCTATCAATAATAATGATAATATCCAAAATATACCCCCTATACAGTATAAATAAACACAAGGAATGAAACGCCTTTTCCCCACCCCTGGCAACATAATTTACGCCGAACAAATCAACAAAACAACGAATCGAAATAATATATCAGGCCATTTCGATAAACAATACATAAATGCATCAAATACAACCGATAACTTTTTTTTAATCGCGTAGCTATGTAGGATTATTTCCCACGATCTGAGTTTGTCGCCGACTCCATTTCGTGACGTCACTGGATGTTGATTCGAGGAGAATAATATTTATTAAAATTATTTTTAACAAGTTCAAAAAAAAAAACAACAAGTTTGCAAGTAAAATACTGTCAAACTAGAACAAATGACTAATTTCGTTCTTACGACATGGCTGAATTTATTTGCTGGGCCATATCAAATAGAGTACTCAAATATTTTTTTTAAAACGAAAGTAGTATTTCAAAGATTTACCGTTCTTGTTTGGGGTTTCCCTTTCAAATGTATTTATAAAAGTAATTTGTTAAAAAGGTTTTACATAAAGATGTTTAAATCTATTTACATAGAATAATTTGTATAAAAGTTTGATACATACCTGTTATTTTTTGGAACTTACTAAAAATAATTTTAATAAATATTATTCTCCTTGAATCAAAATCCAGTGACGTCACGGAATGGAGTCGGTGACAAACTCAGATCGCGGGAAATAGTCAGAAAATGTTGATTTTTTTCTACACAGCTACGCGATTAAAAAAAGTTATCGGTGATATTTGATGCATTTATGTATTGTTTATCGAAATGACCCGATAGATTATTTTGATCCATTGTTTTGTTGGTTTGTTCGGCGTAAATTATGTTGGGGTGGGGAAAAGGCGTTTCATTCCTTGTGTTTATTTATACTGTATAGGGGGTATATTTTGGATATTATCATTATTATTGATAGAATTTCAAGTTCCTGTGATCAATTCAACATTCTAAAATTTGCCTCAGTCACAAATTTCTGTTGAATGACGAAATAAAACTTTAATGCGTCTTAACCTGACCTGACAGAATGAATATATGCAAATATTGAAAATTTTAAATCAAGGAAGAAAACGTCACACAGATACTTACAATATACATTACACTTTAAAAAAAAAACAAATAACACAGTACGACCGTAACCCTTCGCTTAAATCCTAAGAAAGGAAGTAATCTCTCCCGATGATTTATCAGTATCAGGTCAAAGTTGCCAAACATTTTTTTTTTTAAAAATAGGTTAACAAACATTTTGAAATCTTCAAAATTATTTTCTCATTTGTAGTGTAAGCAAGTTTAAAACAATTGTTCATAGTTTCATATTTTGTCAACCGTGACAAGGGAAAGATATATAATACTCTTTCTATTTGTCGTTAAATGATTTAAATGATATGACTATGGAGCTGGTTTTAAGATAACATAATACATGTAATATACTCGGTGCAATAAAGGCAAGTTCTTCAGTTTTAACTAAATTTCGATCTGTAGATTACAATACACGCGAAAAAAGTGTAAGCTAAAAACGTGATTTATTAAGTCTTTTTTCCCGTATATCAATCGGTAATTTATCCCTGATGTTTCGTTGATGACTACCAAATTTGCAGGGTTTAATACCGGAAGAACTACATTGCAAACACTTTCAAGGTCGTTGCATTTTCATTAAATGAGATAGCCTGTACGTTTAATTATTACATATAATTTTTCAATAATAAATGTCCCTCCAGGGCTTCCGCAATTAACCAATCCTTAGATTTATTACTCAAAACTTATTACTTAAGACTTATTATTTAAGGTGTATAAAGCTATATATTTGTTTTCTCTAGTTTGCAAAGCTAATTGATTAAGCTAGAGTTTTCCGAAGTGGTCAAAGTTTAAACCTTGTATCATCCACTATGTAAGAGTTCATACAAACTGTCAAAGCTCGAGATCGGCTTTAAACATGTGTAACATTCCGTGTTAAACTGATAAGCCAGCCTTGAGGCAAAACAAATATGAAGATAGAAGTTCATTTGATGTAATAAGCTCTTAGTCTTTTGGTTTCGCAAGTATTTTCCCTGAAAGATTTGCATTTTACTGTCCAAAGCAATCAAAATTCTAAAACATTCAATGATATCATTTAGTGAAACATTGATTCAGACCAAAACAAGCAATCATGCAAATTGTACTAAATATGTAGATGTTATGATGTTCTTATACTTCATCCGTGTACTTCCATGTGTTACTGTAACATAGGTAAATCACTACCTGCTGCTACCACAAGAGCTATCACCCAAGCCCTTTTAAAATATACTTAAAATAAATGTTGATGAAAATATAAGAGACTATACCTTTTTAACTAGAACTCCGCGAGTCGGATGTGTCGACTTGTGAACTATATAGTTTAGGAGAAATGGCCAGGACAAATTTAAAGAAAATAAAGAAGTGCAGAGAACCCGTTCTTGTACACTGCACTTTTTCTAAATGAGATATATCATACTATGAAGTGATAAGACCATAGTTTTTATACTTTAGGAGAAATGGCCTGGACAAAAATAAAGTATGAAATTAACAAAGGGCAATAACTAAAAAAATAAGAAATGCAGAGTACCGGTTCTTGTACACTGCACTTCTTCTTAATAAGATCTATCATCCTAAGAAGTTTAAAGACCATAGCTTTTATACTTTAGGAGAAATGACCTGGACAAAATTAAAGTATGAAAATTAACAAAGGGCAATAACTCAAAAAATAAGAAATGCAGAGTACCGGTTAAGTATGAAAATTAACAAATGACAATAACATAAAAAATAAGCAATGCAGAGTACCGGTTCTTATGCACTGCACTTCTTCTTAATGAGATCTATCATCCTATGAAGTTTCAAGTCCATATCTTTTATACATTAGGAGAAATGACTCGGACAAAAATAAAGTATGAAAATTAACAAAGGGCAATAACCTAAAAATTAAGAAGTGCAAAGTACTGGTTCTTGTGCACTGCACTTCGGTCATTATAAGAAGCATGCATACCAAGTTTGAAGTCAATCCGATTTATAATGACTGACTTATGCTCCGGACAAGCTTTAGGGGACGCCGACAACTACAAAAATAACCTCTATATGTCGCCTTTTTCAAGGCGACACAAAGAACATTTTTCATTTATAACAAATTCTGAAAATTCTACTTCCCATAATACCTGTGTAATGATTTTTTTCCACAGCTTCTTAGTGGCCATTATGCTGTCCACTATACAACGTTTGTTTCCGCTTCGTATGATACTGCCGAGAACAAACTATAACTAATTTGAACATATATACTACAGCTATCGCTATTGGTGATTCATAACCCTGTCAGTCCGATTCTAAGTAAGGTTTATACTTTGCCACCCTGTTATGAAATTAGCCCCATTTTAACGCAAAGTTAATTATATTGCTCAAAGGTAAACAATTGCAATGTGATCTTTGTGTTGACATATCATTTATCAATCTAACATTTTAAACTGAATTTATACCCGCTGATTATTTCACAAAACATAACTTGTGATATTTTGCTTATTCCAAAATATCATGTCAATGTGTTCTTTGTATGTCAAAGTGTTTTTAACTTGTAACTTTCAAACTTTCTAAACTAATACTCAAAAAAGATATAGCTGACATGTTATCATGTCTAGAGATCTACACTTGCTTTTGAAATTAACCATAGGTTGTAAAGTACTTATATCCTTACATTTTACTTTGTTTCTAAACAAAAAACAAAAAAAGCAAGAGGGTCATAATGACCCTTGGTCTCTATCAGATAAACGCTGCTAGAATATGTCCAAATTTTTTCAAAGCAATAATGGTCTAAATGGGTGTATCATTTTTTATACCAGCCACATAAAATATATAATATATTTTGACTAGCTCAATATCGGTCCCAGAAAAATAAGTTATGTAACTTTTGTAGAGTACCATATAGTGGCAAATTTCTAAGCCCTTGGCATTGTATTTCATTGAAAAAATTAAGGTTCATTTTTATAATATATTTTTCAACACTTGGGACCTACATATTCGTTAAACTTGAACCATCTACGTAACATTTGTAGAAGTTCAATAGAAAATGGTCAAATATATCTTAGCTCTGTGCATTCAAATTGTGCAGTAGGTGTGTTTTTCATTATTAATCTTTATAAAAGATTTTAGTTACCACCAGAAGCTGGGCCAATTTTCACCACAGTGCCATGATTTATATATCTTGAAGTGACTATAAGGTTAT